CGACGTGGTGAGTGGAATTGGGAGCGAGTACTTTGCGTGATTGATTTCGAGTAGTGATGATGACGTGACCATGGGTACATTGTGGGATGAATCTCACCAAGTCGAGTGAAGGATCGTCCGCATTGTCCATGATGACGAGCCAGTCCCGCTTTGTTTTTGCTAGCCAGATGAGTGCATCGGTATCGATACGGGATTGGGATCGTACGAGTGTCTTCAAGTCGGTTTCTAGTGTTGTTTGGGTGGATGCATCTAGGAAGTATATAGGTTCGTCCTCATATCTAGGCTAGTTTCAGTAATTTACTTCCTAAGACCTGCAGACGACCCTACTTTTGTTCGAATTCAGATGCAAACTTCAATGCAATTTGTGTTTTGCCGGATCCACCCAGACCCGTCAGAACCGTCACTCTTGGTGTAGTTTGGGAAGCAGGCGCGCTCCCAAAGTGCGTACTACGCATTACCTCGAGGATATCATCGCGTCCGACGAATCCAGCAACAAGTGGGGGACGCGGCTTGAGAGCCATCTTATGCGACCAAGAAACTGAAAATAAGTCAGTATACTAGTCGATACTACGATTCAACTGACCTACATTTTTCTAGAACCTGCTCTTCCCATCGTTTCTCAATTTTGTTCAATTTCCCTATCATTTGTTGCCCGACTGCCTCCTGAGATCTGATATGAGTATACAAATGGTTCCACTTGTGCATGTACACACCGTAGTGCTGAGTGCCAGATCACGCAGTCGCTCTCGATAGCCCACAATTTTCTTCGCGTTGATTTCTGACAAGATTGTTTCTCGCCCTCGAGTTTTCATTCTTTCCCAGTAACCTTGGAGTCCTGATCCTTTCTCCAACTCGGTTTCTATCTCCTTCTTCATATCGCTTGCAATCTCGTTTAGTATCCTGCTCGCTGATTTAGTTTCAATAAATGTACAACTTAATTTTCACCTACTTTTGGTATTTATTCGCTTGTTCCAGTACGTCATTATACTTGTCAGGTGCCTCTGAATATAGTCTCAATAAAGAGATCACACGCTGGTTCTTCTCTTGGATGATTTCCGCTAACTCTCTCCATCCATCTCGATTTCCTTTACATTTCTACGTCAATGTAAGTGATTGCATCTCAATCACGAGCACACGTACTCTGATAGTTTCCAGCACAAGAATCATTGCATCGCTTGTCGCCTCGATTGAACGGCCAACTTGAGGTATACCTTCAGCAGCTTCTTTGATAGCCTTGAGAGATGTAATAGAAGAACTGATAGTCATCTCCGTGCGATCTATTTGGAGAGAGCGAGACCGGGGCAAGTTGCCAGGTTGAAGCGCCCACGATAGATCAGGATGTGCGACTGCAAATGGAGCGTTAGATGTTAGAGCCAAGGTTTGGTGTATACCGGGTGTCGCCTTCTTTGAGTTATCCATCGGACCTGCTTGATGCGGTCGAGGACGGCGCCAAAATAGAGACCGACAAAAGGTAAGGTACAACTGCTGATTGTGTTGGCGAGCGCTTGACCCATTACAATGTGGGCACAATTAAATAGTGAATCAAGGGCGTTTGTTGATTCTATAGATAGGGCGAGTTGTGTCTGAGACCAAGCTAGGGTGTGACGCGCAGCTATCAGCCATCCTCCCTAGCCTGCGCGCATACCAACAACCCACTGCCCAGTCCCCTAACCCAATCCCTATACCCAATTTCCAGTGCCCTAGCACCCTGCAGGAGCTTTGGATAACCCATCTCCACGGCTATGCCGTGTATGCGCCATGGTTCAACACCTGGTGCAGCTTCCACAGTATTTCGGTTTGTTTCTTATTAATGCTTCGGTTCGAACGTTCGTATATTCGTTTGATTCGTATTATTCTCGATGCGCCATGTCGCAGACTGGCGCCTTAATGTTTTCCATAGTTTTCGGTTCGTTTAGTTCGTGTTTTGTGTCTGGAGATTCGTATAAAAAGTTTGTATATTCGTAGCTACGTTCTCTAGACAGAATATTAAGTATTCTACCTAATTCCTCCGTCCCTCTGTCTCCTTTAGTTCCTCTACCTCTCTTCCTTACCTTATGACCTGCGAGTCGACCGCGGCAACGCCGCGCACGTCACTAGGAGTCCCGCGCCCGAAGCGCAGCTCTTAGGACTGTGCGCAGCCCCACTCGTTGACGTAGGAAGGCTCTTGCACTAGCGCAAGGCAGGGTCCTGACATAGGGCACAACCTCTTCGTCTAGCTTCGCCTAAATTGGGCGACGAGTTTTGAGGGTGACAGCTCCAAAACTGCTTTGAAAGTCCACCATATAGAATCTCATATACTTGCATGAACGTCAAATGCGACTTGATCTTCGACCCTCGACTAAAAATCACAAAGTTCATTTCCCTGGAGAGAGTGCGATAGGTGGTTTGCAAAGAGACGAGCATAAAGAATTATACGCAGCTTCAAGTTGTGATGGCGGATACGTCGGAAAGGGAGGCTTAGAGGACTGGGATAATAGTCCAAGTTGCCCAAAGTAGACGACGCGTTTTGAGAGCGACGTGCCAAGGACTACAGAGCAAATGTTCTTTCTTTATAACCTTGTACGCTCATACGATGGGTATACACGAGAGTTTCTTGATTTACTATCTAATAATTACGAATTCAATCTTTTCACAAGATGAACGTGAGTACAAGAGAAAAAAAGCGAAATAAATGAACATTGAATGAGAAATGATTTGCCGGGAAGGCGTCGACAGGTAATGGATTACATTTCGATAGGGAGTTGGTATCAAGTATCACTAGTTAAACAACATCTAAATCAACTACATACATATCCGAACATGATTAAATTTGAGTAAAGTAGAATATGGTCATAGGTTCAGGTACACAGGCGATGGGGGTTAGGGTTGATTGGGAATCATGGTATTCGATTCGATTCGGCGTGGGTGCTATCGAAGCCGGCTTCTTAGCACAGATCCCAAGATGACACCGGATCATCCTCCGAGGAGATTGGTACGCTTCTCTGAGATAATCCTCTGTAGTCTTGATGCGTCTTCATCTCGGCCCACTTGTGCGTACGTATTGGCAAGGTTGTGCATCGCAACCAATGTATAGTGGTTATCTCCACCATACAGCTTTCTCCATTTCTCCACTAACTCCTCTTTTAATGGCAGCGCCTCCTCGTGCCTTCCGAGACTCGAATAAGAAGCCGCCAAGTTATTGATCGCTTGTAGAGTTTTCATGTTGTCATCACCAAGTATTTCTCTTCGCTTCTCCATCACCTCCTTATTCAACGCCAGCGCCTCCTCGTGTTGTCCCAATTTCGAATAGGATGCAGCCAGATTGTTCGCTGCGCTCAGGGTCTCGAGGTGACCTTCACCGAGCAGTACTTTTCGCCTTTCCATCACTGTTTTTCTTAACAGCACTGCCTCGCGCTCCTGACCGAAATTGGAATAGGAGATAGCGAGATTATTGATAGCCATCAAAGTATCGAGATGATCTTCTCCTAGTACCCTCTTCCACTTCTCCACCACATTTACTCTCAACATGAAAGCCTCCCACTCTTGTCCTAGACTCGAGAGGGATATCGCTAGATTGTCCATCGCCCTCAAGGTTTCCAGGTGGTCGGCACCGAGCAGATCGTGCCGTTTCTTGGCCACAATTCTTCTCAGTGGCAACGCCTTTTGCTCTAACCCCACATTGGAGTATGAGTTGGCGAGATTGTTCATTGCTACTAAAGTAATGAGGTGGTCTTCTCCTAGGAGCTCCCGCTGCTTGAGCGCCAGTTTCGCTCTGAACGGCAATGCCTTGTCTTCTTGCCCGAGATTCGAATAGCAGACGGCAAGACTCTCCATGTCCTTCAAAGTATCGGGGTGATCTTCTCCAAGGAGTTTGGTTCGTTCCATCGTCAATATCACACTCAATTCCAATGCTTCACCATATAGTCCTAGGTGAGAAAAGGAACTGACAACATTGCGAATCGCATCCAGGGTATCAGGGTGACCCCAACCGAGTGAATCACTCCGTTTCTCCATCACCATCACCTTCAATGGCAAAGCTTCCCTGTAGCGGCCCAGGTGGGAATAGGAGACCGCCAAGTTGGCGATCCCATCAAGAGTAATAGGATGATCTTCACCGAGCAACTCTATCCACTTGCGCGCCACTTCCTCTCTCCACGGTAATGCCTCCTCGTCACGCCCAAGATTGGAGTAAGAATTGGCCAAGTTATTGATCGCAGCGATAGTGTTGCGATGATTTACACCGACGAGCTTTTTCCAATCCTCTACGACCTTCTCTTTCAAGCTCAGGGCTCTCTCTTCCTGTCCGACCGTACTATAGCAGTGGGCTAGCACTTCCATGGCTTTCAACGTGAACCCATCTTCGCTTCCAAGAGAAGTCGTCCATAACTCCAAGCACCGCTCCATATGGCTGACTGCGAGCTTTCCTCCGCCCATCTCTTGCAAGACATGTCCATACCCATAATGGTCTCCGGGTTCTATCACGTCATCTGGGTTGACGAGCTGAAGATGAGGGGAGAGGAGTCGATTAAATGCAACGTATTCGTGGTCCTCGGAGTAGGTGATTGTAGAGCCGAGGAGGCGAGCAACGAGTCGACCGGGAGGTTGGCTATACAGTAGTCCAGAGGTCGACTGCAAAAAGTTTTGAACGAGGATATGAATTGAATAGAACATTTGTCCACCTTCCGAGGAGAAATTGACTAGTGAATACTTCTTGCATTCCTCGATCAAGTCATCGAAATCCAATGTGAACCAGGATCCTCGGGGGCAGATGATCTTCATAAGAGTGCTCGCATACTGCAAGGTCTCTGTCTTGAGAGGCAGTCCTGTCTCCATAGCCACACTTCGGAATTGTCGTCGTGCGGCTTGCTCGAGAATGATATGAGGAATAGACCTAGGACCGAGGTGGGACAAAAGCCTGAGCAGTATTTGAGCTTGATGAGATAGCTTCTCAAAAGACATTTCGATCGTAGCCGCCACAGAGTAAGGATAATCGTGGGGCAAGTCGAACTTTCGTCTAAGGAACTGCGAATGGCTCTCCTTGTATGTGTTGAGGTATGTGTGAAGGCACTGTTTAACCAGTATGTATGCTCCAGCATGCGCTAAAGCAAGTGGTAGGCCACCCAACTCCTGGGCAATGTCTTTGGCGAGAGTTCTATTGACTTCATTATCTTCGTATCCAGACGCATCCAAAAGTAAATTCGTTGAGTCTTCCAGTGAAAAAAAAGAGACATCGTGAGTGGAGTTGGGAGCGAGGGTTTCTCGAAGAGGGTTACGGGTCGTGATGATCACGTGACCATGCGCACAGCGCGGGAGATAGCGAGCCAGTTCGAGAGATGGATCGTCCGCATTGTCCATTATGACCAACCAGTCCTTCTTTCCGGTCGCCAACCAGAGCAGGGCATCGGTATAGACCTCAGATTGAGAGCGAACAAGAGTCTGAAGGTCCGCTTCCAAGGTCATCTTAGATGACGCATCCAGAAAGTATACAGGCGAGTCCTGGTACCTAGGCAGTGTGAGAAATCTATCAATTGTATATAACAGGGTTGGCTCACTTTTCTTCATATTCTGACGCAAACTTTAATGCAACCTGAGTTTTACCCGCTCCCCCTAGACCAGTCAGAACTGTGATCAAAGGTGTGTATCGACGAGTGGAGATGTCCTCAAAGTGAGCGCGGCGCATAGCAACGAGTATATCCTCGCGCCCCAAGAATCCGTCAACAAGCGGGGGACGCGGTTGGAGGATAACCTTTTTGGTTGGCGCGGCTGATAACTCATCAGAAACCCGATAATCTCGCAACACTAGGGTACTTACGTCTTGAAAGAGCCTGCTCCTTCATATTTTTGTATATCTTG